ATACCAACTAATTATTAAATAAAGTTCGTAAATTGTGTGATATCACGTAACATACGCTTCTGAATTTAGAAGCATACGTTGAGTATTACATGAAATATTCTTTTATATCACCAAATTTTTAGACCTCTACTAATAATAACATGCCAAGTCTGTAGGTTTAGAATTGCCCAATTTTGATTTTTGGCACTTTATATTGATACATAATACTAAACGTCCGGTTCCAACAAAGAGATAGCGCAGACAACCCCAACTGCACATAATTATTTTATAATACATGTAATTTCCATTTGAATCAACTGCGTGTTGTATCATAAGGTCTGTTATTGAGTCAATGTACGTGACAAGAAGTAGGGTTGCCTGTCCAACCTCATGGATTTTCTCTGGGTCCTCCGGTTTCCTCCCACTGCCAAAGACACCTACACACAAGCGTATTATTGAAATAAAATTTAATCATGTATAAGCCCCAAAATGACCTAGTTTGTGTTGAGTGGACGTTTAACCCCATCTCTCTCTCTCTCTCTCTCTCTCTCTCTCTCTGCTATGAAATATTTAATATAAAGTCAATGAAATTAATATTCAAAAATAAACAGATACAGGAAAATATATTGTTTTGAAACACCTGTAATTATAGCTTCAAGAAATCTGAAAATGCACTAAAATCGGTTCAAAAAAGCATTTAAATAATGATTTACAATATTTGAATAATAAAATCAATATTTGATTTGACCACTATAATATACATTGTGCAAACATATACAATTCATGAGTGTGTGATAATAATATAATGCAATCTGGTAGGGGAGGGACGAGGTAAAGGAGAGAGAAAGAATCTTTCATACAATGAATATTATATGTTTATTTTTGCAATCTAAAAGGTGAATAAGTGTAGATAGCTAAGATTTAAATTACTAGATAAAATATATTTAATAATAAATGGTAATTAAGGAAACTGAATTAATGATCATTCTTTTTTAAATAGTTATATATTTGGCTGCTTGTTTTGTGATTGGTTAAAGAATTGGTAGAAACTGTTTTGGCCTTCGTGATATAAATTGAATAGGAAATTGATTATTCTTTTGTGTTTATTGACATTTTGAAGAGTTGAGGTCCATGTACATGTAATAACTTAGTTGTCAGGTATACCTGTTTGCTTGTTGTTTAAAGTAGCCATGTTGTTATCAATACATACCTGTATACCTTAAATCATATCAAGTTTTTGCATAGTGTAGACTTCGATCACTGCATTGGCCGAGAAAGTTCATCCAGGTTTTCCGGTGTGGTTCCCCCCTTGTCAGTGATGCCGGACGGAGGGCCCGAGAAGGACAGCTGTCTAGTCGTTTGGATGGGACTGAAAACCGAGGTTCCATGTACACATCGGCGTGCAAGTAAATGATCCCTTGGCAGTTGGAATTCGAGATAAGAGTAGGCTGTATTGCCGCTATCCAGGAAAAATTTGCGTCATAGCACACTGTATGGCTTATGCCCATCTTCATTCGCCCAGTTCGGAGCAGAAGAGTAGAACGTTAAACCCCATTTCATTTCATTGCATAGTGTAGACAAGAAGTACAGTCGGCTGCCCAACTTATGGGTTTTCTCCAGTTTCTCCATTTTCCTCCCTCTGCTAAAGACCTCTATGTGCAAGCCATTATTGACATAAAATTGTACCATTAAACCCCATTTCTCTCTCTCTTTTTGCATAGTTTTAAAAGCTATTATATTATGACCATCATACTGTATCCGAAAACCTCTCACATTTTCTCAAATAGACGTTTGAAAACCCTGGTTTTTAAATCAGTTGGCTACTATAAAATAGTGTCTGTTTACACAGTTAACGATGTTATCAAGGGGTAAACAAGGAATATTATTTGAAAGTGTTTTATAATAACCGAGTTGCAACTGTCAGAATTTCTAAATTAATATGCACATTTAGCATTTAGTATGGATATATTGTTTCAATGGCATTTAGTAATTGAACTAGAGTATACAGGTCACAATTCTATGGAATACAATTACTGCTTATTACTGAGCAACGTTTCGACTAGGCTTCTCTAGTCATTATCATTATTGCTTGATAATAACTAAAGAAGCCTAGTCGAAACGTCGCTCAGTAATAAGCAGTAATTGTATTCCATAGAATTGTGACATAGGCTGATTAATAACAGAAAGTTATTCCTAAAGACAGAAAGTTGTTCCTAATGTCAGAAAGTTATTCCGACTGGCAGAAAGTTGTTCCAACTGGCAGAAAATTGTTATTGCCACTTTAATACAAGATTGATAACATGACACATTTAGTTGGACCAATATTGCATTTAGAAAACAATGATACAATCACCAATTGCAATATACCATGACCCTTTACTCTTATAATACTCACAGTATATTAACTTTTGACTGGTAGCCCAGGGCTAATTATTAAACTCTCAAGAGCCTTGTTACCAATCCCTTGTTCGTCCATACAATCACTCACTATATTATATTATTATAACTTTCTCTATTCAAAGTACCAATCTATTCTTGTATTAACTCAGTGTTTGTACGACATAGCAAGTCCAATACGTATCTAGATCTATAGTTCAGTTGACAGTCAGCAGAAACACTCAAGTCACTACATGTTGAAAATGGAGTCATTTATAAATTGGAAGCTTAATGTTTTAATTTTAATTTGAATATGTTTTAACTGTTATGTTTGAATATGACTACCATACAAAAATATAATCGTTCTGAGGAATATGATTATAGGGTAAGGTTTATTGATTTTTTTCTAACATAAGTGGTCAGATCTATGGATGTGTGTAGTCAGTCTGCATTATCAATAAAACATTTCATATATATTATATATATTCTAAATGATAAACTGGGTTTTGTAGATATCTGTAGATATTTTAGTTTTTGGAGTTATAAAAGTTAGTCGGAATTCCAAGGTCTGCATACATGTATATATAAAGAATACTAGAACGTATTTTACTTGATGTATATTTGTGAAATTTTAAGACAAAATATTTAAGTAACTGATGTTGAATTTTCTGTTCCCATATAATGTGATGAATTGTAAATAGATTTTGATTTTTGGAAATATAAAACTTAATTTAAATTCTAATTTTTAAGAAAAGTCTGCATGTAAAAAAGAATCTAAACCTGCACTAAACAGTCTATAATGATCTACTGTCAAAACATATTTTATCTGTCACTTGATCTGCATTCAGGGGGGGGCAAATGGTTTAACATGCTAACATGTGCGAGTTGGATCACAAGGTCTGTCATTGAGTCAAGTGGCGTGGTTTCGATTCCTCACTTGGGCATAACATGGAGTAGGGTCACCCGTCCAACTTCGTGGGTTTTCTCCAGACCCTCCGGTTTCCTCCCACAACGAAAGACCCCCTACGCGCAAGCGAATTATAGAAATAAATTGAAGAATATGGTAGTCCTGAAATGACTTTGTTTGGGTCAAGTCTGGAGGTTAACCCTCTCTCTCTCTCTCTCTCTCTCTCTGACCTTAGATGTTGACCTAAGAAACTGATAACCAGTAATGTGCAGTGATCATCTGCATTTTGTGCAGTAATGTACAATTAGAAGATTCGTATATTAGATTTAAGTGATGAAAGTAATCATAAGCATGGTTTTCTGTGGTAATGATAAAATACTTTCTATCAGTAATGATGACCGAGTTGCATCATCTATCATGCATGGTTGATTAGAATAATCCCTGTTGCCAGCCACCGCTAGTAGGATGCACAAATTGTGCAGTAATCAATTTTACATGTTGTATTCTAAGTTCATTTAGTCATGTTTTATTTGATCATCATAAAACAAAAACTAACAGCATGAACAATTATAATAAGGGAGTTAATCAGAACGTCTGCTAGAAATACATATCGGAGCAAATTTTATTTTATCTAGATTAAATATAAAGTATTGAATTGGGTTAATCTGATTCTTTTTCTCTATTTGTGATGATGCAATCTACATATTTTCTAAAAAAAATTGTGAAAGATTATGCTGAAGTCAGCTTAATTACTAATTTATTTAAATTTTCTGCTGAACGTTTCTCATATAATCTATGTGCAAAATTTCCAACAAAGACAGATTGTCATCCCTCGTAGCAAAATCCCTTGGAATCCATTGACTCGGATTAAAGTGATTTATTTAAATTTTCTGCTGAATATTACTAAATTTTTTAACAAAAACAGATTGGCATTCCTCGCAACAAAATCCATTGGAATCGATTGACTTGGATTAAAGAGATCTTGTCATTTTAATAGTTGCTGTATAAGAGATTTACTGTAGTTGTATTATTGAATATTGAAATTAATTACCATGGTTATGTTGATGGTTTTTGATTGGTTTAAATGTACACTAGTTTAAAGTTTGTGTGTCATTTGCATTATTTCGGAAAATATCAAACTTTTCATGACTTAATTCATGCTAAAATGTACTCAAATTATTGTTTAACATTAATTAAGAAGGAAAAAAAAAATCAAAATATCAACCATAGATAATCCTCCTGGTTTGGATTCATTCGGATTAAAAAACGGCCCATCGAAAGAGTTCGACGAAATTCATAGGTGCCACTGGCTGCTCTTGACTATCTCTCTGCCTGCTGGGGGGTTGGGTGGCCAAATGGTTAATGCATGCACGTTTGATCAGAAGATCTTGTCATTGAGTCAAGAGGCATGGTTTTGATCCCCCGCTTGTACTTGACATGAAATTTGGGCATCTATCCAAGTGAATTATTGAAATAAAATTAAATCATATGTTGGTCCCAAAATGACCTAGTTTCTTTTGAGTGGATGTGAAACCCCATCTCTCTCTCTCTCTCTCTCTCTCTCTCTCTCTCTCTCTCTGCCCTCTTTATATACTCTTCTTCAATTCATGAGAAAGAGAGAAATAATACTTTCTATTGATCTTTCGTGAATTCACAGGAGCATCAAGGATTGTGAAAAATGTTTTAAGAATCATGATTTTCCAATTTATAACTTATTGTATTTTTTGTTTTCTTTCAGTTGGAACTTGCGTTGAAAGGAGGAAGTGTGAGTGAAGTTGGAGATGCCGCTAAAAGTGTTGTCCAACAGAATTTAGAACTACGTCGTAAGCTGGAAGATGAACACCATTCATACAAACGTAAACTACAGGCCTACCAAGATGGCCAACAACGACAGAGCCAACTCGTTCAAAAATTACAAGCAAAGGTACAAAAATAAGCCAACTCGCGTTCAGTGCATCTAGTACTACAGCAATTTCTCTTAAAAAATTGTTAAAACAACTGCTTTCTTAAAGATGCATTATGTGAGAGCTAAATGTTATACATGTAAATCATTAATTAGATATTTATTTACATGACAAGCCCATAATCAACTCTCTAGACTATAGGGTGGTCGTGATTTTTAACGGATTTAAACTTGATCAGCATTTAATAATTTGAAAATGGATAATCTAGACAGTCATAACTGCACTCAGAATAAAGTAATTTCACTGAAATTTTCAATATATTCCCTTTCCATTATCTATTTTTGAACTATTATAGCAAGAATGATCAGTTTTTTGTATAAATCTTACATAATGCATCTTTATTTTGACATATATCAAGCAAGACCTTCAAAGTTTAAATTTGAGTTTAGATACGCCCATCTGTTAATGAGTTTGAATATTGTTGTTGCCTTCGTGGGTGGGTGGGTCTCAGAATGGTTTAACGCGTGCACTTTAAAGATACATTATGGGAGATAAGATAAAGAGATGGCAGTTCTCGCTATAATAGTTAAAAACTAGATAGTGTAAAGGTAATTTGCTGAAAATTTCAATCAAATTGATCCACTATGAGCCGAGAAAGAAGTGTGTGAAATTTTTGCATAGTCTGACAAGGAGTAGGGTTGCCTGTGCAACCTCGTGGGTTTTCTCAGGGTTCTCCGGTTTCGTCCCACTGCTAAAGACCCCTACGCACAAACGAATTATTGAAATAAAATTAAACCATATGTTAGTCCCGAAATGACATAGTTTGTGTCGAGTGGATGTTAAACCCAATCTCTCTCTCTCTCTCTCTCTCTCTCTCTCTCTCTTGCATTCATCTGTTGGTTGTTTGATCTACAGATCTGGTACTCACAAAGCCTGTGGCTGTGATCTTAACCAGTTAAACTGAAATTTTCAGGAATAGGTAGTATTTGATAAATTTTGAGACAAAAGTAATTCCAGAGTTATTTGGAGCCAAGGTGGCTGAGTGAGGATGGCATTAACTCTCTAATCAGGAGGTCACCGGTTCCATCCAGGTGTTATCCAAGTATGTTCCTCAGGAATTTGTGGCCTGGTTTCCCCATGTTGTGGTGCAGGACAGAGGCCCTACTAAGATAAATTGTTTAAATAAAAGAGTCTAGTTGTTTTGACTTGAAGAATAAAACAAGGTAGTTGGAAATAGGTCTGCAACAATACGCTAATCTCATGATACGATACGTATCAAGGTATGGATCTCATGATAAGATATGTATCAAGGTATGGACTTCACGATACGATACGTATAAAGGTATGGACCTCACGATACGATACGTATCAAGGTATGGACCTCACGATACGTATCACAACATTTTTTCTTTCCGAATTTACATAAATAATAAAAACAAGTACAAAATATTTAATGGAGACGTGTCTCATTATTAGTCACGGCTTTTCCATCTGGCGTTTTTAATTAAAAATGTTCTCATGTCCGTGATTTGTGGTTCGCTGGTGGCGAATGTTTCATTGCCAGAAGCCATCTTTCCACCTTGTCACATGAACTACAGGGGGACATAACTCTGTATGTTAGTTGAATATCGAAAGAAAACGGACGGTTAAAACAAATCTGTACAATGTTTACTGAATCGCAGTATGGAATTTAAAGTACCATGAACGGAACTGTGGCATGTATACCGCGGTATATCGTTGCAGCCGTAGTTGAAAATCAGAATAAGAGTAAGTCATAGCACCACTCTCAGAGCAAACTTTCCCCTTATGGCACACTGCATGGTGTATGCCAATTTTCATTTGTCCGAGAGGGGTTGGATGGCCGAATGGTTAGCATGTGCACGCTGTATCATAAGGTCTGTCATTGAGTCAACTGGCGTGGTTTCTATTCCCCAGTTGTACCTGACAAGGAGTAGGGTCGCCTGTCCAACCTCGTGGGTTTTCTCCGGGTCCTGCGGTTTCCTCCCACTGCTAAAGACCTCTACGCGCAAGCAAATTATTGAAATAAAATTGGACCATGTGTTAGTCCCGAAATGACCTAGTTTGTGTCAAGTGGACCTTAACCTCTCTCCCTCTCTCTTCTTCTCTCTGCTTTGGGTCTGATACCAAAATGTTTTTGTTGGGGTTTTTTTCTAACTAATCATCTGTTTTCAGCTGAAGCAGTATAAAGAAAAATGTCAAGATTTAGAAGATTTAATACGCAACAAAGATGTTGATATACACAAAACCACATTAAAGGTACTAATTTGTTATAGTCTATTTCATATTTCATCCCTTTATGTTCTATATAATGACAGGTTGTTCAGTACAAGTCGAAATGTGAGGATCTTGAAGCTGACTTTAGTAGTTTACAAGATAAATATGATAAATCGGTAAGATAGATGTGATTTGATGTGTGTGACACTGCTGCACTATAATCTGTTTCAAACAGAGGCTAATACTGGACGACAATTTCTGCTTGGCTTCAAGGATAGAAGTAAAACCATCAAACTGGGCCCTGTTTCTCGAAATCTTAACTAAAGATAAAATCCAAATTTTAAGAGCTACTTCAATTTTGATTGGCTAAGCACTAAAATCAATGTAATATTATCCAATCAAATTACTAACATTTGGATTTTATCTTAGTTAGAATTTCGTGAAACAGTCCCCAGGTGTACAAAAGAGAGTGCTCTATACAATATTCTGATAATCATAAAGCTTATATCTCTAGCTATCTTCATACGTAAATAGCAGGGGGTTGGATGGCCGAATGGTAATTAGCACGTGTGTGCTGTATCATAAGGTCTGTCATTGAGTCAACTGGCATGGTTTCGATTCCCCGGCTGTACGCGATGAGGGGTAGGGTAGCCTGTCTAACTTTGTGGGTTTTCTCCGGGTCCTCCGGTTTCCTCCCACTGCTAAAGACCCCTACGCGCAAGCGAATTATTGAAATAAAATTGAATCATGTGTTAGTCCCAAAATGACCTAGTTTGCGTCAAGTGGACGTTAACCCCCATTTCTCTCTCTTTCATACGTAAATAGACATTATTACCGGACTATAAAAGTAAATTGGACTATTAAGAAATAAGCTGAGACCACTACATGCATATAAAGATTAAATTTTCCTTCAATAGATGTTGGAATATCAACTTATTTCAAGCAAATCTTACTTAAAGTAGTAGAAAATATATACTACATCTAATCGAACTATTCCACCCCCACCTTAAAGTTTATATGTATATCAACGTGATTACCAGACTATACAAAAAATTTGGCCTATTAATGAATAAAGCTGTTACCATAAATGCATACAGCTCATGTTTTAGTTAAATAGATTCACGTCTTTATTAGCCCAGTCTGTGCTGTAGGACATTAAACCAGATTTTATTTCAATAGATAGCCGATATATATCTTTTGAGTTAACTCTAAAGTATTAATGAAACTAAGTGACATTTCTTGAAATTATTCCACTCTGTATAGTGTTAAGTGATTTAACTTAGAGCTGGATTTGTCATGTGCAGATTATCCAGTCTTAAATATTAATAGGAAATAACCACTCCTGCTCTCTGGGTTAAAATTTACGCCAACATGATGTCCCAAATATAAATTTATTGAGTAGTGACGATTGGTAAGGGAGGATGGGTATTACCGTAAAAATTAAATCTAGCTGTAATGAGATTAAACCAACAAAATGATTCTAAGAATAATAATGTAAATTTCTGCATAGTTTCACGGACAGGATTAATTTGTGTATAAAAGACAGGATGAGTGTTACAAATGAAATCTAATAAATCCACATTATGCACACAAAATGCACACAAAAATGTATATCAAAAAATACTAATTTGATATTAAAAATGAATGAATTAATTGCACAAACACAAAATTGTTATTGTCAAATTACGCACCCCAATGAATTATTCAACAAAATAACAGAAGAAATCAATTTGATATAAAAAGTGATGAATGAACTAATTGCACAAACACAAAATTGTTATTTTCAAACTGAGCACCCAAACTAAAATTACCATGTTGTTATATCACAGAATTATTCTAACCAGTTCTGATAATTCTAATTATACGATTTATTTGTTTTAATATATTGTTACATGTAAAATGGTGATGGCCTTTGTTACATGATAAAAGTTATTCTAAAACTCCTTTGCATTTGCTAGTTTTTGCATTGATTAAGCTTTAGAATATTCATATTCTCAGTTACTACAATGGTCAGTAAAAAATGCATTTCTGCTTACAAGACCTGAAAGCTTCTTCTTTAATTTTGCTGTGATCATTTTCTTCTTTTTTTTTTTTTAAAGTAAGTTATATTTTATGTTTTTTTTAAATGTTAAACTTGAGGGATGGAGATGGTCAAATCACAATTGTAATAAATCAAATTTGGATAGGATCATCTAATTTTCTTGCCTAGAAGTGTCTGTTTGTTTCAGGGTAATTTGAATTAGTCTGACACATATTTGAATATTCTTGTCATAATTCAAATTCTAATTAATTTAAAGATAAATTATGTAAGATTTAGATAAAGAGCTGACCATTTTTGATATACATATATGAATATATTCAAAATTTCATTCCAATTACTTTGTTCTGAGTGAAGTTTGACAAGATGTTGCTTCGATTGTTTATTATCGAATAGCAATGGTATATGTACTTGGCAATTGAGACTAAAAGGATCAAATTCCATTAAAGTTAAATGACATCAGATATATTATTCGTGAAATATTCAAATACAATAAAAATTCTGTTTGAATATCAATGAAATATTATTCAAATTGGATAAAAAATTCTGTTTGAATAGCCATGAATTCAAATTCGATAAAAATTCTGTCTGAATTGCCACGAAATTCGATAAAAATTTGTTTTGAATAGCTGTGAAATATTTGAATTTGATAAAGATTTGGGTTAAATAGCCATGAAATTTTTTTATTAAAATTCAATAACAAAATCATTTTGAATAACCATGAAACATTATTTAAATTAGATAAAAACTTGGTTTGAATATATGTGTAGCTGCGAAATATTATTCAAATTCTGATCCTTTACATCGGCCTGAAATAAAAAGCCATTCTTGGAATTGAAACTGATAAGTGTTCATGATTTCTCAGTATAGGTGAAAACATGTCACTGGATTGTATAAACTGAACAATCAATCTATCGAGTTAATGGGATTCAATTGTCTCCTAATTTGATTAGTTTACTAATAATCCAATTTCTTTTAAATGAGATAATCCTTATGTAAACTAAATCCAAATCTTTTTTAATTTCTGATGGGATTAAAGTTAAGAAAGGAATTAATATCTGAAAGGACACTGATAGGGGATTAAAGTCAAGAAAGAAAACATTATTTCATTTCAGATAATTTAAATTAATCAAATGAATATGAACATTATTCAAAACATTTGTGCTCTATGAATAACCGTTATTTCCATAGATAAAGAAATATAACATCCATTCAATTCACCATCATTTAAAGTAAAATTATAATTCAAATAAGGTTTTTGTTTTCCTAAATTTATATTTAAATATTAAACAGGGGATGTTTTAATTTATTCAATAAAATTGAAATAAACTGAATTTCTGTTTGATAAAAATTACTATGCTTCAATGAACACAGAAGTCTTTTCAATTCCAATTTGTAAGATCTATGCAAGTTTTTGTTTTCCTAAATATATATATATTAATATATTAGACAGGGGATGTTTTAATTTATTAAATAAAATTGAAATAAACTGATTTTTGATTGATAAAAATTAACATGCTTCAACGAACACAGATTTCTTTTCACTTGCAATTTGTAAGATCCAAAGACAATTGAAAAAGAACAGTTCTGTTAGTTAAGAATTGACATGCATGAATAAATGTAGCACTGGTTACAACAAGTTATATGTTTATTATTAAAAGTATGCAATATACTATGATCTAAACTGAGAAAAACTGTTTGTGACAATACAGTAATGCTATAATCATTTCTAAGTGGATTAATTAACCCATGAATGGTGAATGTCCATTGACCTACCTGTAAGGTAAAGGGATTAATTAGGATTATCATACAATCTTGTTTAGTACGGTAACCACCAAGTTGGTTGTCACAGAAGCTAAATGTGTATGACGATATTGGTAACCAGGGTAGCCATTAATCCAAGAGAAAGGGTTTTTAAGGTGGTTCTGTCCTCACTGTTATCAGTCTCAAGGCCAACCTTCTAGGAGCAGGATCTCACTTACAGATCCCACTACTACAACAGTTGACCATACCAAGCAGCTATCTTGTACCTTGAAAGCGATATAGTTTCATTGGCGACTTGGACTCTTATTTATTTTTTCCTAAATTATTTATTTATTAATCTTTTCTTGTGGACGTGATATGTCCTGGACTGATAAATACTCTGACTTTTTGAAGACCACCAAAGGACAGACAACTCAAACCAATTCAACTGTACGTAATTCATCTGACGCCAACAAAATGGCTTCAAGACATTACAAAAGTGACTTAGACTTGACTGATTTTGACTTAGAGCCAATAACGGGTAATATAAGTAAAGACAAGAAACCGAAAGATTCGGCTGCCACACATAAAACTGAAACACCTAGATTAGAAGCACCAGTTGAGCAAGTCCATCAAAAGAGGGTATTTACAGTTTCATTTTTATCACTGCAGCTTCAGTTTGTCTTATCTATTTGCGGCGTGTGTGTGAAGTAGTCTTTTGAAGATGACAATTTAATTTTCTAATTTGCCTATTTTCAGATGCAGTCAACCACTGATTCCTTTATTCAGAAATTAGAGAATGCTGAAAGCAGATATAAATATTCTGAAGTTGATCATGTGATGGATCTAGAAACTGCTCTGATCAAGTTGGAGGAAGAACAGCAAAGGTAATTAAAGGGAGACAACTCTAAATCACGCCCTCTACAAATTTATGTGTTCAAAAATTACAACTATATAGCATCAAGGATGAATCTTAACAATACGGTCAATTCTTCATGAATTAAGTCACTAATCTTTGAAAATTACAACTGCGGATTCATAGCATCAAGGATGAATCTTAACAATACTGTCAATTCTTCATGAATTAAGTCACTAAGTCTTCAAAACTTTTTTTTTTCTTTTTAGATGTTCAAGTTTGACACATGTTAATAATATGTTACGGGACCAATTAGACCAAGCTACAGCAACCAATCAACAACTCAGCGCCGACATTCAGAAACTGACCATGGACTGGCAGAGAGCTAGAGAAGAAATAGAAAATAAGGAAGCTGACTGGAGGGAGGAAGAAAAGGTATGCATATCTTGAGTGCACTGCTTAAAAAAAACTGTTGAGCAGTAAATCTGTGCCAGACAAAATGACAGGCACAAGAGGGATTTTGCCTAACAAAGCTTGAATCTGTACCTGACAATGTCTGTGACAGGTGCCTTATTTCCAGGCTTGACACCAGAGGGATTGTGTCTGATAAGGCCTGAATTTGTGCCGGACATTTTGTATGACATAGGTGCTTTATTTCCAGACTGAACAAACATGAGACGGGATATACTTATTCTTTCTAGAACACCTGGTACCACATAACTTACATGGCATTATTTCTTTTGTCTCTTTTATTTTCAGTCGTTTAATGAGTATTTTAGTTCTGAACACGGTCGACTTCTGGCTCTATGGAGAGATGTCGTAGCTTTCCGTCGTCAATTCAATGAAATGAAAGTTGCCACTGAACGAGATCTGTCTACTGTGAAAGGTGACGTCAACAAGACCTCCCGAAGTGTTCACTCTGCCTGTCTTAACCTCAGCGCCAACACTCGTAACAACGATACCCAATCTCAAGTGGCTGTTGATCGTGAACGAGCTGAAAAACTCTCCCTTGAAAGTCAATTGAAGGATAAATTGAGAGAAATGAATGAGATGCAAGCTAGATACGATGCTCAAAGTGCAGAACTGACATCAAGGTATGTTTTTTTTATACGATTTCTCTTGACATTGGGTTTGCATTGTTGAATGGCATAATGGCATAAAGCTTACACTTAGATCAGCCCCAATCAGGGTTTTTGTGGGTCTTCTACAGTTTTTCCCCTAGATGCAAGCAAATTATTGAAAGAAAGATTAAGATTTGCAAGAGATAAATTAAAAATTGAAATGGAAAAAAAATATATACATTTAACGAGAAACATCTTGAAATAATGTTAAATATTTTGTAAATATTTGTTTCTTCAGAGTACAAGAACTTACAGCGATGAATGAAAGACTACGAATCCAGGTTGATGAGAAAGAAAAGACCGTCTCAGCATTACAGCGATCAGTGTCTGATAACCGAGTTTCATTTAACTTATCTGAATCCGAGGCTAATGAACGACAAGACACTGAATCCCTTCACTCTGCTTTACGAAACCTTGCCGATTCTGTTATTAATGATGATGAAGATGCCGAAATTAATGGCGAAACCTCTGATCTAGTCATGAGAAGTTCCTACCGAGCTAGATCTACCTCCCCACTTCGCTCAAGATCTCCATCATCTCGAACCAGATCACCAGGACGTCCCATTTCTCCAAGAGGCCGCTCTCGCTCTCCTGCTTTCGTTGATGCTACCTTCTCTGCTGTCCAGACAGCTTTGAGTAAGCGTCAAGTCCAAGTTTCGGAACTTCGAGCCAAACTCTCAGCTTGCAATGAACAGAAATCTAGCCTTGCTAGACAACTGGACAATTTGGAGAGCGAGAAGCGTAGAATGGAACGTCAAGTGATGAACATGAATGAAGAACTTGACAATGTGTAAGTAGACATTTATACGTTTGATGATGAATATAAACAATTATAATAATTTTCTGTCTTCAACAGTTATTCAAATAATTATCCCTCATTTCCATATAAACAAGATTAAAATTCTTTTCCCGACTTTAGTTTAAGGAAGTCTCTTCAGATCCAGATTTCAAATAGTTGTCCATAATATAAATGAATAGTTGTCCATAATATAAATGAATAGTTGTCCATAATATAAACAAATAGTTGTCCTTAATATAAACAAATAGTTGTCCTTAATTAAAAAATCCAAATAGTTGTCCTTAATCCAAATAAATATTTTATTATTACAGTCGCCGTGAACGTGAAGATTCCTCCCGAGACCGAGACAGGATGAAGAATGCTTTGAATGTAACTGGTAACGAAAAATCCCAATTAGAAAAACTACGACAAGAATTGAACGATCAGATTGAGAATATCCATAAAGAGAACGAGAAACTTCAATCTGTTAACGGAGCTCTACAGCAACAGAGGGATCAACTTGAAGAAGAGAAGGAAGATATAAAAAAGGATAAGGACCGACATATTAAGGAAAATGAAAGATGGTAAGAACGAATTCACTTTTAAAAAGTTTGAATTATTTAAAATATTATTGTGAATGAAATTCAATTCTTATTGTGATTGAAATTCAATTCTTATACATTCATGGTAATGGAATTCAATTTCATAATTTTAGTCCAATCAATTTCAATTTTATTACTTTATTGCGTTTGTTTTAAAGTCCATTGTTATTTTTCATAATAAATAAATTTCAAATATAAGCTTGATAGTTTTAAAGTTTATTGTTATTATTCATAATAAATAAATTTCAATTATAAACTTAATAGTTTAAAAGTTTGTTGAATGCAAACATTAATTATCTGAGAGAAATTAATTCTGTATTGTTTGTTTTTAGTCAACGCATTATCGATCAACAAGATCATAAACTATCAAAGGTTCGAGAAGAATTGGTCAATACGAGAGAATCCCTTAACAAAGCTCTCCTAGAAAAAGAGATCTCTGAAGGTCAGAAGACAGAAGTTGGCGAAGCCTTGTCTACTACCGAATTACAGAAAGTAGAAATAGAAGTCGAGATTAATCGATTAAAGACGGAAGAAGCCACTTTACGAGATGCTCTGTTGAAGATGCAGGCATTGAATGAAGGTCTTGGTCAAGATAAAATAGAACTCAATAAGATCATTATGATGGTAAGTGAAGAATGGGCCAATTATTTAAATAGAAGATTATCAATTCTAATAGTTTCTTTTGAATTTTATATATTTTTCCATAATCATTCATCTTTTAAAGAATAATTTTATCACTCAGATATAAATCAATTTCAATCACTTTGGTGAAGAAAACACTAAATTTTTCGTAGTAGTCATATACTTGTGCAATTGAAAATATTCCTGACTTTAACGATTTGGTTTAGTTATTAAATATGATAAGTTCAAAAATGAGAAACATTTACGAAAAGTTTTTAATTTTTATGTGCATTTATTTTCAGCTTGAGACTGATAAAGCCAATTTATTAGATGAACGATCAGCATTGGAACAAGAAAAACAAGGAATTCGTGAAGAACTGGTCCGAGTTGAACAAGAAAAGATGCATCTGGAAACCGAGAAGATCGGTATGAACCAATCTCTGGAATTGTGTGACGTTAATAGACAACAACTCGAGGATGAAATTAGTAAAATCAATAGAGATAGAGCAGCCCTTTCAGAAAAATTGTCTTTGGTAAGTTTCCTTGTCCTTTTATATCTTGAAATGATGAAATCATTTCGGATTCCATCTTTAATAAAAACAGATTTAATTGATTTGTTGATGTACAAACTCTTTGAATCATTCATGAGAGTACTGCCGATCCCCTCCGCATCCTAATGAGATTAATTTAAATTCAAAATACACTTAAAAAATAATTAAAAGTTTCTTTTACAGAGGCAAATCACAAAAGTTCATTTTCCTATTACTGAACTTACTGTCGATGCCCACAGTATCATCATATAAGTTTAGTTTTAGTTCAAAATATTCTTTAAAAACAAAGGAAAAAAGTTCTATTAATAAGGATACTAAGTTTAGTTTTAGTTCAAAATATTCTTTAAAAACAAAGGAAAAAGTTCTATTAATAAGGATACTAAGGATTGATTTCCTTATTACTGAACTGATATCATTGTATAAAAATGAATATTGTTTCTGTTCAACAGGTCTCTAGACAAAAGGATTCTTTAACTGAAGAGTTATTGGCTGCTAGAAAGGAATGTGAACGTATATCTGGTATGTTAGAACATGTATCCAAAGAGAAGGAAACCTTAACTCAAGAAAAAGGTGAACTAATTGTCCAAGTTACCTCCACTGAACGTGAAAACAGACAAAATAGCGAATCAATTGCTTCCATGGCTGCCGATAAAGATGGTCTTGAGGGACAGGTGTATGAAATTCAACAACAGCTTATGCAAGTCGAGGTACGCAAAGCTCAACTGGAAGGCGAAAACCAGGAACTGCTACTCAGGAAGGAACATCTACAAGGTAAGCAGGAAAACCAGAACACATTAACAGACACCGAATTCTTTTAAGAACAACTTGAATAATAATAACAATAATTTATCCATTCATACATCATAACAAAATTCAACCAATGGCAGCGATACGGTACTTTATAAAGCTATAACATGGGATTTATGTAACTATTAACAAAAATAGATAAAAAAAAAGATAAATTGTATATTTGAAATTGCTTGATGGTACCAATATTGAATGGTTTAATCTAATTGTTATTATTATTATTATTATTACAGCTGAAATCAATAGACTTGTCAATGAGAAGGAAGCAGACTTAGAAAGGTTCGAAATCCAGAAGAATTCCCTCAACAATCGCCTGCAACAAGTGGAACGTGACCTGCAAATGGCGCTTCAACAACAGAAGCAGACTCATGAAGAAGATGTAGAACGATTATCCAGGGAAAGGGTAAGTTCATTTTATTGATTGAGATCTTATCTCAAATATTGATCTTACTTGCAGTTTTTACTCCACACAAATTTATTTCATTATTTATATCTTTGTGTTTATCAATAGAAAAAAGATGTTATCAGTGTGTCTTATTGATTGGCAAACTTTATATAACATTTTATATAACAAATTAAGATCGTGTATTCAGTAGTCAATTTTGAGCAGGAAAATAGGGATGTTAATCTGCATCTCATTTCATTTCTATGAGAATGGCCTGTTTTCATTAGCCCAGTTGGTGCAGAAAAGTAGGATGTTAAACTCCATTCCATTCACAAACTAAGATAAACAATTATAAAGATACCGGTGAGAGTATTGAAACGTTGCAAGAAATACAACCAGGGGTACTTAGTAGTAAATAAAACTGTGTTAATATTAATGTTATACTTTTAAATCATTTCATTTCATGGTACTTCACAAATTAATAATGATAAAGATACCTGTAAGAGTATTGAAACATTGCAAGAAATACAGCCATGATTACTTAGTAGTAAAAATAAAGCTGCTTTAATATTAATGTTATACTGCTAAATTTCAGTCAGTGATATAATAAATATTTCTTTTGTTTGATTGTAGGAAAGTCAGAGAATGGACTTCGACAATGAACGAGAAGAAATCCACCATAAATATAACTTAGAGAAGGAAGATCTGATCAATCATTATAATAAAGAGAAGGAAGAATTACAAGATAAGATGTTAGATGTACAGAGAGATCGAGATGAATCTTTAATCATGGCTGAAAATGAGAAACAACAGGTTAGTTTTCTTTCTGTTCTCCTTTCACAAATCCCTTGAAAACTACAAAATTCTTAATAAAAGTTTCGGGTCGTCTTTTGAGGGATTGTTAATCCCTTCCAAACTAGAAAGATTCTTAAAGTTTCTAATCATCTATTGAGAGATTGTTAATCCAATCCAAACAGCAATAGGATGAAAGTTGAATCTCTAAAAGGAATATCAGTTCAAAAATGGTTCAATTTTCGTTCATTATTTACAAAGTTATGATAAATTGACATCCCACACCACTTATGCTTATCACTGCAATCTTTTGATGGGCCTCTTTTTAATCCGATAGAATCCATGCCGGGAGATTATCTGCCCTTGATATTCATGTACCTGTTTCATAAATTTAACTTTTCTTTAATACAACTACTTAGACTTGATAGTATTAAGTTCAAATGTTATTATATATTTACAGGCACTGTCTTATCTTGAACAAGAGAAATGTACTCTGTTGGAAAGAATAACCAACCTCCAGTCCGATATTAAACAAACCAATGTCGATTATGATAAAATGAAGATGGAGTATAATTCACGCCACGAACAAGATCGTAGCAACATCAACGCCTTACAATCCGAACTCAAAAACTTCCAGAATCATTTTGAAGAGACAGTGTAAGTTAACAATAAAACATTCTATTTTTGTTCCTCAACTTTCAAGAATGTAGTCTTAGATACTTTGCTGAGGATACTACTTCAAAAACTGAAACCATATTCAAATCCAGTAAACTTTGCAACTATTAACTGCTTCCTGGCTTCGTTTTTAATTAAATATTTCAAATTCTGAAAACAGGAAAATGTATTTTTATCCTTTTTGTGTTATTTTATTACAGTGCTGCTCACGAGAAAGAGGTAAAAAATTTAAACAACCAAATTCGAGATGTAGCCAGACAGAGAGAGGCAGCCATGAAAGAAGTAGCAGAATTGAAAACTCAGTTGAAACTGGTTGAAGAAGCACGAGATGCTATTAGAAGAGACTTGATCGATGCCAATCGAAATCTCCGAGAAGGTATGTATTTGTTTTATTCTACTGAATAATTTGTCAATGACCTTAAGAAAGCTTAAAGAATTTATCTGAAATACTGATATTAAGAAATTTAAAAGTTTTTAAGTCAAATCCTGGATATTCAAAGTTTCTATTTTATTTTCGCAGCTGAAGAAAACAGTGATATAATGAGGAAGGACATCATGGATCTTAAACGATCCGTCAATGATGAAATCCGAGAGAAGGAGGCTGTTAGTAAAACTGCTGAAGAACTTCGTAATACGGTGAAACGAGCGGAAGCCGATAAAACCGACCTTAACCGTGCATTACAAGACTGCCGACAAAAAATTAGTGGTAAGTTCTAGACAATCTACTTAAACACACAGACATCCATAGTTTTAATTAATTATTAATTAATGAATGAAACGCGCTTAACAGGCAGCTGTGTGTAATTGTGAACTGTTTTGTTGTGAATGTGCTTAGAAAAACTCATGTGTAATGAAGCACTATATAAATCGAACAATAATAATAATAATATTAATGAAACCTTATCCTTTTCTCACTTTTTTTAACAGACAAGTTAATATTATATCTAATATTATTTTCAAAATTTTGTTTTCTTAGTTTTGGAAGATCAATGCCAGGGTCTTACCAAAGAGGCATCTGATTTAAGAGCGAACCTACGAGATGTAGAAAAGGCCCGACTCGAAGCACGAAGAGAGTTACAGGAACTCCGGCGCCAGATCAAGATGTTGGATGGTGAGAGAAGTAAACTTGGTAAAGAGGTGATTGACCTCCAGGCTCGTGTAGCACATGACGAAGAAAAGGATGAAGAATCGAAACGACATTCATTTGATTTGAAACAGAAAGTGGTTGAGACAGAAGCTTCAAGAGAGGCCCTGCGTAAGGAACTGGCTAACATGCAACGTAAGATGGCCGAACTTATTGACGAGGCCCACCTTAAAGAGAAAAATTATCATCTTTTATTGGAAGACAGCAGACGTACTGAAGTAAAATTGAGTGAAGAAAAACAGAGCTTGGAATCTGGTGTTGATAATTGTAATGCCGAGATCAATGACCTAAGGTTGAAACTTAGTGGTAGTGATGGAAGAGTTAATGCCCTTGAGGCAACTCTTGCCAGATTAGAAGGTACCAAACGGGATATTGAATTCAAACTTAACAGCATTGTTTCCAGTCTTCGAAGGTCTATTGGCTTCCGACAAGAAATGCCAAGAAGCCGCTCTATTTTGAGAAGCAGAAGTACTAGTCCTAGACGATCCAGACCTACCTCTCCCTCAAAGGGTAAGATATTTCTCTCAATAATTACATATTTTTAATTAATCATTCTTATATTCAATGAAAATTATCTTTTTCTCAGTATCTTCAACAATCACATATTTTATTTCGAGATCGTGATTATTAATGTGCATGGTTAACAAAAAATTGTAAATAATAATGGCCTCTATATTTGACGGATGGGTTTAATTTACAACATGATTATTACATTCTTCAGGATTCGAAAATACATATGCTACTACTACAGATGGCCGAGGTACACCCATTCCACGAACAGGATCTCCTAGCCGTGGTGAGAGTCCCGTCAGAAGTAGAGGAGCTTCCCCAGTACGATTTGTTGATGTTCAAGCCGTAGATGTTGACCCAGAAGCAGTTCGAATGGCTCTCCGTGATTTCATGGCACAATTGGCCAATGCTGAACGTGAAAGGGTAAGTTTGATTAATAAATTGATAATGACTCTTAATAATTTACAACAATTTGTTTCAAACAAATGAAATAAAGCATCACATTTTTAATTAAAAAGTAGGAAGTGGCATCGGATGTTCTAAAAAAAGTATGCATACCCTGCCTTGTGTATGTTATTGTTGATAACACATTCTCTGTAATTCCAGGATGATGCCATCAGTCAGGTGAACAGTTTAACCACACAGCTGAGAGATTTAGATGGTGATAGAGAACGAACTGAAGCCCGTCTGCAACAACTACAGAAGTCTATGGGGGCTGTTGAAGAAGGTATGTTAATTTGATTGTCAAGATAATAATACATTTTGATTATCATCGTGTGTTCAGAAAATAATCGGGATTATTTTGAATTTTGATCAAAGTTGAATTAATCAACTAAGACATATCTTAAAGTTAAATTATCAACTAAGGCATATCTCGAAGTTAAATTATCAACTAAGGCATATCTTGAAGTTAGATTAATCAACTAAGGCATATCTCAAAGTTAAATTAGTCAACTATCACATATCTCAAAGTTTATTGATCAACCAGGGTGTATATCTCAAAATTAAATTTATTAAGTTTTATTGCATATTTCCAAATAAACTTGAGTTAAAAAAAAAAAAATTCACTAAATGTATATCAGTATGTTGATTGATGACATTGTGTTTATTTTTGAACAGACAAGAGAGGTATTGATGGTCGTCTATCCAGTGCTCAGACAGCTCTCATGTTACAAGAAGAAACAATCCGACGAAATGAACGAGAACGTAAAACGATGTCAGACAAGGTCACTAGTTTGGAACGTAATTTGGCTGCTGCTGAATCTGAGAAGAGACAACTCGAGGAGAAACTCAGCAAGTTGAAGAACAGCGAATCCAAACTTGGAGATGATGTAAAGATGGTTAAGGGATCTTATGATGAAGCTGAAAGCAGGTGTACGAAGTTAGAATTAAGTCGTCGTTCATTAGAAGGAGAGCTACAGAGAATCAAACTATCAATGAATGATAAAGACACCGAAAATCAGGTAAATAAATACAAGCCCTAGCCATGTAAACTTCTTTGATAGATTAGAAATAGTAGCAGGTGTTCTAGAAAGAGAAAGCATACTCTGTTTTATGTATGACACCTGTCTATGCTTTTAGCCATACTTTTATGAATAATTACTTAAAATTTGATTAAAAATAATTAAAATGATGGACTAATTAAGATAATGATTATTAATTAAGAATTTTAAAATTAAATAAATTTCCAAATATATGATAGTGCTTCAAGTTGAAGTCAAAATGAGCTCTAAAATATTTATCAGCATAAGCCTAAAGCTCAGTCCATCATTCCTAATCTAGTAGTACTAGTATAGACTGAAATAGATTGCATGACTCATGAACTCTACACAGCATCTTGAAGTTGAAGTGTGCTATTCCCTGGAGTCAAAACATCCATATGTGCAATACATATGGCATTTATTTACATCTTTCTATATATAGATCTTATAGTAGATACACAGGCTAGGCTAGTAGTGTTATAGAGATTTCCATCAGTTATACATTACGTATTAGGATTAATGATTGGTCTATTAGAATTAGCATCAGGATTAGATTATCTCACGAGCGAGTGAAGGATTAAACTGCAATTAATTGGATTAATAATTAATTTATTGTTGGTTTATAATTATATCGGAAGAAGCTCTGCACTTATTGACCTTGATACCTTGGATGTCAGTTTTAAGTCAAATCAACATTTATTAATTATGTCTGTCAAAATGACATCACTTCCTAAAAAGAAACCAAAAATGACTAAGAAAAAAACAGTGTCCTCTACAGCTTTACCGGAAATGTGTATTTTTTTTCAATACAGATTCAATATGGTGGGTATTTTACCAGTCATCTGTTTGTGTTAATTATTATGGGTTGTAAAATTAACGTTTTTTTATTTTTTTTTTATTCCTTAGGTGTTAATGGGACGAGTTGAAAATCTGATGAAACAAATCCAAGATTTAGAATCCAAATCCAACTCCCTGCAGCTAACCATTGATCGTATGAGTATCTCGTTGTCTAAGACTGAAGAAGAAGGACATCACCATAAAGACAAAGTTCAAGCATTGAGCTTGTCGCTATCAGACAGTAACGCTGTCATCAGTGACCTCGAAGACAGGATCGCCCAGATGCAAAGGGCTATAACTAATAGTGAACATGATAGACGAGTTTTACAGGAGCGATTAGAACAAACTAGGTAATTAATCTTTAAATGACGAATTTCTTCATAATTGCAAAATTCTTCAAAAAAATATTAATTAATACAAAAGTATGACAAAAGCGTGTTAACTTAGAAATTAAAATGACAAATTTCTTCATAATTGCAAAATTCTTCAAAAAATGTTAATTAATACAAAAGTACGACAAAAGTGTGTTAGCTAAAAAATGTCCCCAATAGAAAATTGATATCTGAGGGCTCTAGAGCGTAAGCATACATTGCCTTGTTGATGGCACCTATCTAAGGAGGGCTAATAAAGATGGTCAAACACCAACCGGGCCAATGAAGATAGACATACACCAATAAAGCAGTGTGCTATAAGGGAAATTTTGCCCTAGCCGTGGCATTTGTGCCTGCTCTCATTGAATCTTTTACATGCACTCCAACAAGTAGATGGGTGAACCTTGGCTTTCCGTAGCATGCAAATGACTCCCTACAGCTAAAATGATAATATGCTTTCATTAATATGGCTGATCTTTTTAATTTCAGACAAGCCTTGAATGATGCTAAGAAACAAAATGAAGTATTAACTGAAAAAATGAATTCCATGCAGACAGATTATAGTGATAGTGAAATCAGACGATCAGAATTAGAAGGTCAAGTTCGACAGGGTTCAACTGTAAGTATAGATATAGATTTTGTGATGACATCCTCTCTTGACTCAAGAACGAAATAATTTCTACGAATCATCATTTGTCCATTATCCGGATTAAAATTAGATTACTTTTTCGTTTCATATTTTACAATACTTTGCAATTTAAGGAACTGTTCAGCCAGGAAGAGTGCTGTGTATTTAAGGTGGCAACGCTTCCAACATTTTTGTCATCAAATTCCATCTGCCTAGAGTACTTACACATGCACTCCATTGTGTACGCAGGACCTCAGTTTTCATCCTATTCGAAGGACTAATCACATTTTAACATCCATTGTTTATATTCACAGATTTTGATACAAAGACAGGAATCCGAGCAGGAATTGAATCAAAGGATTCAGAAATTACAGGTAGAAAAACAAGCTCTTGCTGAAAAGGTGGCCAATTTACAACGAACCATCTCAGACATGGAAAATAAGAAACATGAATTCGAGAGATCGACTAACCGATTAGAAAAAGATAAAACTGCTTTAAAGAAAACTTTAGATAAGGTAAACATTAAAAAAGATTAATTTAAATCCAAAAGAATTGTTATTTAGAAGTTTAATTTTCCATTGAATATAAGAATTTGATTATTAATTTGTAGCGTAACCAAGGCATACTTTGTCACTAGCAAATATCGCAAATCTCCGAAAAATCTAATCCAAGATCAAATTTTCTGTGCGGTAATTTTGAACCCTAAGCACATGCTTTTGACCCAGCTTGAATGCTGAACATATGGTTTCTTAGAACACTGTCTCAGTTTAACTGAACCCTGAGCATACTAAGTTGTCATATCTTGAATCCTGATCACACTATTTTGTACTCATTGCTCAAGCCTATTTCTATGGATTTGTTTTTTCTTTCATAGGTTGAGAGAGATAGATTACGAACAGAAGAATTAGCTAATAAATCCGTTCAGGAACGATGTAGTTTAGATATAGTCATGCAGAGATTAGAAGACGATAACGTAGAATTACAAAGACAAGTTCAACAATTACAAGCTCAATTAGCAGAAGCAGAACAACAGCATTCATCAAGGTAAATACACCATTTTGTTTCTGTTATCCCTCTTTATCTTTCCAAACAGAAGAGTTCAAGATTAGATTTGCAATCAGTTATCCAAATAAGGCAATGTTTTGTTTCAATGACCTTTGGAATATCTTTTCATCGATTTTAATCACTTCAATTTTTAATTTAAAGTCTAATTGAACTGAATGAGGAACATCTATCAAGGTATATTGTTGAGTGATGATGCAGATATCACCAGTTGCATGTCCTCTGCTCATGAGTAACATGTTCTGTTGGCATGACGATTGAATCCCACATATAAAAATTTGTTTGAAATAATCAATTGCAATCAAAGCATGAGAGAAGTTTCAAAATAATCAATTGTTCATTGCAACACTGATGCTTTAAAGAGATCGAATACAATCAGTGCATGGAAAAGAAACAAATAATCAATTTTTCCACGATCACCGTTAAACATTTACACTTTTTCATCTGACACCTGTTTAGAAAAGTTCTATTGTACACTAATTATGCTTATGATGAGCATGTATTTTATTTATAACAAAATATACCCAATTTGCATGATAAATTATAAGTTAATAATATACTTGAATCTTGTTAATGTAACAGCATGATGCCCTCCTCCGATAAGGCCCTGTTCCCTCCAATAGATTATCTTTCACTTCATAAACCCCATTCATGCATTTTTTTTCTCTCTCTCTCTTTGATTTCATCCAATCATTATTGTCTTAATAATCATTTGCATGGTCATTGCTCAGGACAGTTAACAAACTGTGATGGCTTTTGATTGAACATTGTTTGTGACGATTGATAATAACATTATTGTTCTTGATCATTGCTTGTGACGATGGAAAATATAGATTATGAATCTTGATCATTGCTTGAAATTAAATACGAATGAACTTAGTAGCTTTCATAAAACTCAGAACATTGCATTGATCATTGATGCTGCCTCATTTAATAATATGCAGATCATTTATTTATCACATATAAATCTTGCATTAAACAGCATTTCCTCATGTATCATCTACATTATAATCAAAGTTTTCAAATCATAGTCTAGAATAATCATACACATCACTTGTAGCATCTTGTACTATCTACAGAATTTTTAAGATTATTGTCTTAGATATTTAATGAAATTTTATTATAATTTTCTAGGTTAATCGATTTAACAACACGTCATCGAACTGAGACGGAGATGGAAACCGACAGACTGAGACAATCACAGGTGCAAGCTGAACGTCTATTAGATGCTCGAGAAAGGTCAAACCGTCAACGAATTAAAGGATTGGAAGAACAGGTACACATTTAGTTAAAATATTAATATATATATTTAATTAATAGATATTTATTTAAAATATTAATAGATATTTATTTAAAATATTAATAGATATTTATTTAAAATATTAATAGATATTTAATTAATATAGCTGGTATCTGACAATAAAAAAGATTTCATTACCCTTAGTGTTATTTATAGATTTAAAAATCCTGAATAAAATCTAATATTTGTTTGTTTTGTTTTAATTAATTTAAATATTTCTATTTTTTAGTGTGCTACCTACAGAGATCAATTGAGCCATGAACTCCGAAAACGTCAACAATTCCTGACCAAGAGTAGCAGAAAAGGAGAAGAAATTCACGACATCAGACATGTTTTAGATACATCACTAACTACAATCAGAGACTCATCCATTGATCCCATTCTCCTCGAGCACGAATCCAGAAAATTAAACGAATCTTTGGAAATCCGCTCCAGCCCACCAGTCCGTCTTTCCAGACTCAGATCACCTGTTCGTGGGCCTTCTCCAGTCCGATTCCCTGCCTCATCCCCAGGATTCCGACGAAGTACCCGTAGTCCAATGTCCTACCGCAGATCGACCAATTCTTAAAGACATTCCAATCGCTTTCAACTGTCTCAGCTGTACGTTTTGGTAGTAACCTCTTCTGTATATCATCCTAGGTCAAAGGTTACACCAATTAATTGTTAATGGAAGGGGGGAAGATAATGTTTTGTTTTTGTTTTTCTTGGCTGTGATATAATAATAATAATATTAATATATATAAATATATATTTATGAACCCTGCCTCCCCACAGATATTATAATGGGGAATCATTTAGTATTATTTCTTTACTTATGTTTGTATGTTTGAAGTGACTCATATTATGATGGTTTTGAAAATTTTTGAATTATAATAAGTCCTAAAATAACATCATCATTTGAACAGTGATTGAATCATCATTTGACTGGTGACTGCATCATCATTTAAGTGGTAATTGCATCATCAATTAAATGATTATTGCTTCATCATTTAAGTGGTGATTGCGTCATTATTCAAGTGGTGATTGGTTAATTACACGTTTTTAAAAGAAATCTAAGGAAATTACTATATATGATCTTGTATTTCACATATTTAGTCATGCCATTTTCTCAGAATACAAATTCAATCGTCTTTTACCATTTGTACATCAAACAGCGTAAAGATAATTCCGTCCACACTGACACTTTTAATTTACATAATATTTTGTTGTTGTTTCTTTTCTCGCTATATTTTGTTTACGTAATCGATGTAAATGTTTTTTGTCTATTCTTTAACAGGGTTGGTTTTTTTTTAAGTTACCTGGCAAAATTAGTTTAATTTAATCTATTAAATTTACTAATATGTGTTTATGAACCAAACATTGTTATATATTTTGGTAGCATTTACTACTTAGATTTCCAATTAATAAAAATAATTGGACAATAATCCAAAGACTAAATAAAATGATGTCATGTTTATTATAGGATTATTTAATTAATTAGTGAAGTAATGAAATTAATGAATATTTAAATAAAATGCTATTTATTTTCTGAGACTAGAAAAACTGTGATAAGTTATTGTATTTATTTGATATTTTTTCAGTGTTGCATGTTTAGTATTGTATAATATTAGTAGAAAATATAATTTATAATATACTGATAATATAGTATGTGAAAAATATATTAGTATTTGTTTTTTCTTTGTTTGGGTTTTTGACCGAGGTCCCGTGTACACATTGGCGTGCACACAAAAAAAGATCCCTTGACAGTTGGAATTCGATATAAGATTAGGCCAGAGTGCCACTGTCCGGGCAAAATTTCGCTCATAGCAGACTGGCAAAATTATTGAAATAAAATTGAATCATGCGTTAGTCCCATGTGATAGAATTATTTTGTGTCGAGTATACATTAGACCCCATATCTAAACATCCTACTTTTTGTTTTGCTATGCAATGTGCCATTGGAATAATTTGCCTAGACCTTCAAATTCAGACTGCCAAGGGTTCTTTTACGTTCACAACAATTTGTTTGTTATTGCACAGATTTACTAAAATTAATCTAAGGTCCTACCCATGCTAGAATACTCAGTGCAGTATACTATCAAGGAAATTTTGCGCCGACAGGGACCTTAATTTCTGCATACTCTTCGTCAAATTCCAATTGCCAAGGGTCCGTAACATGCTTAATCCCATACAAGTGATTACACGCTCTTCCTGCACCACTGACAATGGGAAACCAAAAATCTGGTATGTGAAAACCAACTGGAAGTGGCAATATTCTCAAATGAGTTAGATTTCCTTTAAAGATACATTATGTAAGATTTAGATAAAGAACTAGCCATTCTTGCTATAATAGTTCGAAAGTAGATGATGTAAAATGAATAATTTTAAAATTTTATTCAAATTACTCTATTGCAAGCGAAGATATTAGCCTTGGAAGGTTTGACAGACGTGTGCAATAATTTCAACCACCGTACTGGTTGATCGAAGCTAAGTCTCGGTCCTCCATATTTGATTAAATCAAAGTATCGCTGAACCATTCTAATCTATTTAATATCGGAGAAATCTTATGCCATCGAGAGTTGATTAAGACCTGGATCAGTTAATTAATGTCTAATTAATACTTTAGAAAACATTTCAGGCCTAAAGAAAGACCTGCAATAGGCAGATTTAGCTCTTGCATAATGCATGTTTAAATACATCTGTGCAAATCTGAAGTTACTGAATCCAGTAGCCTTTGGACATTTGGAAATCTGGGCGGATTTGTAAACAAATAATTTACTATTCAACTAAGCCAAAACTGATGTTACGAAGCATAAACTAATGCATGTACATAAAGCTAGCCATGCATCATGAAGATTTGTTAGTCTGGGGCATGCTTTAATAGCACTGCTCATCACTTGACCTACTCACTGCAATCTGATTGGTCAGCATTTTGAAATCAGCGTTTTAAAATGCAATTACTTTTACTTCTTTTGGACGGATATCAACTTCAACATTAATCTCATCAATAATATTGAATTAAACAACTGTATTCTGATTGGTCGTCGACATTTTGAAATGCATAGGGGAGGTGGATGCTGAATGGTTAGCACGTGCGCACTGTATCATAAGGCCCGTCATTGAGTCAATTGGCGTGGTTACGAATCCCCAGTTGTACATGACAAGGAGTAGGGTCACCTGTCCAACCTCGTGGGTTTTCTCCGGGTCCTCCGGTTTCCTCCTACTGCTAAAAACCCCTACGCGCAAGCGAATTATTGAAATAAAATTAAACCACATGTTAGTCCAAATGTTAAACTGTTGAACCCCATTCTTCTCTCTCTCTCTTGAAATACATGCAATAACTTTGTAATTCTGGTTTAAAGAATATTTTATTGTCCCCCGCCTTTCGAAGAAAGCAGGGGACTATTAAAATGGGTTCGTCCGTCTGTCTGTCCGTCTGTCTGTCCGTCACACTTTTTGGGACACAATAACTCTCTTCCTAATTGAGCTAGAATGTTCAAACTTGGTGTATGTGTTTATTAGGTCAATGCCTTGATGGAGTTCGACGATGAGCATTTTCCGCTTAGGGTAAGCAGAGATAAGCAATTTGATTGGTTGATGTTTTGGGACACGATAACTCTCTTCCTAATTGGGCTAGAATGTTCAAACTTGGTGTATGTGTTGATTAGGTCAATGCCTTGATGGAGTTCGAAGATGAGCATTTTCCGCTTAGGGTAAGCAGAGATAAGCAATTTGATTGGTTGATGCTTTGGGACACGATAACTTTTAATTGAGCTAGAATGTTCAAACTTGGTGTATGTGTTTATTAGGTCAATGCCTTGTTTATTTTGATTCTATCTGATAGAGAGTGATGAAACTTAATGTATACTTAATAATCAGTTTGATTGCTGGATACTTTTGAAAAAGATAAACATGCAATTAATTAATATATGTCATCTATTTATTTCGGGATTTCAGCGGGGGACATCAGCCTCACTGTTGGCTTGTTTAGTATAATTACAAATAATCCTACACAAGTACAATCTCATCATGGATGCGACCACAAGCAACATGCTTATGAACATCGCTTCTTGATATGGCAGTTATTGCTGACAGGTGAAGATGTGAGTAGATTAACGCTCAGATATATATTAAAGATGTATGCTCAGTAACACTAATAACAAAATAAAAATGAAAGTTTTCGGACATCAATAACAAGGGTGAATAGTTTAAATGGCAGTTAGAACATCCGTAAATTAGCCTCCAATAGTACGCGTGGGGGGGGGGGGGCAACACAAACAAAACCGAAGATACATATAGACAAGACAGAAAACACACAGATCTGCCGGATTTCAATTTCTTCAAACAGGTTATTTGAGGTATCCATTGGGAGCCCCAATCTGATTAAAACACAGATCCTATTTCGTTTAGTTTTTATAGTTCAAAATTTTGTTTTACTTGTCTTTACTACATAAGGATCTGGAAGAGTTGTTTTATCATTGACATGTTCTAAATGGTGTGAGAGATAAGCCAATTAAACGGTCTGATACGGCGAGCTTTAGGCGTGTTTGCACGGAACTGTGGGTAATCCACTAGTAAAATCAATGCTGATTGGTTTATCAAATGTTTGACGACATAGGGTCAAAAACCGCTCGTATGACCTCTGACGCGACCTATCGGTACAGTCGGTCAGATCTTCATGTAGTGTAGGCCATCGAAAGTATAAAAAACGAAACGAAATATAGATCTGTATTTTAATCAGATTGTGGGAGCCCAGTTATGGCACTAACAGCATCTAAATGTAGTTTTTCCTACTTGATAGCTATATGTAGTATGGAATGAGGAACATGTACACGGGACTTAGGTTTTTCGTCTCACTTGAATGACTAGCCGCTGTTCCTTGCCAGGCCATCAATTATTGTCAATTATTGTACAGATATCAACTTGAACATTAGTCTACTGCAATATTATCTGATTGGTCAAGTATATGAAATACAATAACTTTGTTTCCAGTCGACTGACTTTTAATATACAACTTGAAATAAACCTTCAATTTTACAATCCCGCGCAAAAGTTCGAACATCAATGCCATTTGTTCCTTGTAAGTTGGTAAACTATTATATGATTTGTCCATCCTGTCCAAAACCACCACATATTACTAGGGCAACCGCGTGCACCCGTCTGCTCCCTTAGTAATCGAAATAAATCACAGGATATCTGGGAAGAACTTCCCACTAAACCCACCCCATGGCCTAAGGCCGTAAATGGAAAGATTGCAAAACCATATTCTAAACAAACATGAAGAAGCTTCGGCTCTCCTAGGTACGTCTTGTCTGCGATATCACTTCTGTGGAAGCTGACGTTAAAGCACCGAGATACTACTACAGGATATCTTTATTAGTTTAGCGTCTTAGATAGAAGGCTTGATCTCGCTTTAACTCTATCGTACATCTTCTCGGTGCTAGACGTTGTAAAACTCACAGTCGTTGCTCCAGGAACATGTTGGTTTAGTTGCTTTGAACAGGTCAACATGTTCTTCACGTGACCAAGGTCTGACGTCATGGCTGGAAGATACCATATTGTCAATGGATAGTATGTGTTGAATATATTACGTCATGAGTTATCTGGTGTACTCGATATGGAATTTCAACGACTGATATGGAGTTACCCGGAGTAATACCATTTTCAGTCACAGTGTCCATATTGTATGGCTCAACACCCCGCAACGTTTTCATATAATAGAATCGAGCCATTAACGCCAACAAAAACATTTCTACAGTAACAAGACCATGATGTGCTGCTGTAAATATACCATTACAATAACATTACTAATTTTTGTTTTTAATTTTTAATTCATTGATGAAATGAAATGGGGTTTAACGTTCTACTTTTCTGCACGACTGGACTAATGACGCCGGGTTATGTATTAATGGACAGTGGGGATGCCAGTGTACATAATTGGTCCCCAGGGGGCAATATCAAGAAATGCTATTACAATGTTTTAAATTTCCAATTTATAGACGTTCACGGGAATTCCCTAAGCCTTGTGTGATGGTGGCGGCGGTGAGGGAGTGGGGTGCAAACGTGCTGTGATGGCGGGGATGTGTGGAGGGGAGACTATTCTAAACCTTGCGAGGTGCTGGGGATGTTGGGCTATGGAGGGACATGGTTTGTGAGAAAACAAAATCTCATCATTTGTAAACTGCACAGAGTTTGCTACACTTTACTGAAGTGTATGTCCTTTTGTTTAAATTTGATGACACATGAAATGAAATGAAATGAAATGAAATGGGGTTTAACGCCCTACTGTTCTGCTCCGAACTGGGCTAATGAAGGCGGGCATATACAGTGTGCTGTGTGGGAAATGTTGCCCGGACAGCTGCGCTATTGCCTACTGCTATATCGAATCCCAACTGCCGAGGGTTCTTTTACGTGCACGCGAATGTTTTCCGTCCCATCCAAACGACTACACCTTGTCCCTTGCTACGGACCTCTATCCTGCACCCCTGACAAGGGGAAACCAAATCAGAAAATCCAGATGAGCCTTCTGGGCCAACACCGGGATCGAACACGGGACCTCTAGGTTAGCGAGCCAACGTCCTACTCACTGATCTGCAGCTGCTCCATTGATGGCGTCTTCCCACAAGAAACAGGTCTAATGGCATCATGAGCTGTTCCATTGGTCAGCCATTTTGATGTTTCCCTGGACTTTCCCCGAGTCAATTGTAACGTGAATTCGCGGATTATTAACCATTGTGGTACTTGCTGTGGAGATTTAAGCCCCCCCCCACACCCACACCCACACCAACACAGACACACCTCTAGTCGACCAATAGATCATGTAAAAAAATCTTACCATTTCCTGTGATTTTTGATGAGAGAGTTCCTATACACGGGAAAGCACCGTTCGACGATAGTATACTGAATATCAGTATCTGTATATTACTGACGATCAAAACCAAATAAAAACAAACATATTTGGGAACAATATGGTAATGTTTAAGATTGGTCTTGGATGCACGATATATCAGTATTAATCCATACATCGCTATTAATGTCGACAAAGCAGAAATAATACCAAATACCGTACTAATTGTAGAATGGGTTAACTGAAATGAAACCAACAGAACATGAACTGGACTAATGGAAATAAAATTGGGTTTAAGTTCCTACTATTATGCCCCGAATGGGCTAACGAAGACGGGCATATGCCATACAGTGTGCTATAAGAGACATTTTTCCCGGTCTATGAGAGACATTTTGTCCTGGACTAATGGGAAAAAACACGAGGTTGAGTCGGTGACCAGTACAAGATTGGGATCGACGCGATGTCAGACCTTTATGTGATCTAAGGGACCGCTTCTTATTTTTTGTCCCATCAGAACTTTTAGAACTAGAGACTTCATTCAAGGTAAATGACGTATAAACGAATTCAAGAATTTGTGTCCGCTGATTGGAGCGACGCGAATTTCTTTTAAATTATGTAACATTTGACTACTGACATATCTTGATTAGCCTAAATGTGTCGTTACTTTGTTGTTTAGCTACTTTCACCTTTATACGGTGGCCTTGTAGTGATATAACAACCTACCATGCCTTCAACAAACATGCCTTCTGTCCATAATACGGCAGATAAATGTTGTACTATCGGACGAACAAATGCACACTGCAACACACTAACAGAGATCATTCCATAATATTTTCTGTAAGGTAAAAAGCACTGTCATGTTTTTTGGTTAGTGAGAGAGAGGGGCTGAGAGAGAGAGAGAGAGAGAGAGAGAGAGAGAGAGGGGACGTTCCCTTGACAGGAACTGCGTCAATTAGGGACTAACATAATGGTTCAATTTTAATGCAATAATTCGTTAACGCGTAGGGGTCTTTTAGCAGTGGGGGACACAGAGAAAACCCACTGGGTTGGGCAGGGCAACCCTACTCCTTGTCACGTACAAACTGGGAATCGAAACCACGCCATTTGACTCCCTGACGGGTCATAATTATGATCTAAAACGCACACGGTAGTCCATTCGACAACCTAACCCACCTGTTAGTTGAAGAGGTTGAATAGATAAGAAAAGATCGATAGATATGTCCGCTCTACTAGTATGGTTTACAGATGAATTCTCATAAAAGAATTTATTGATTAGATAAAGGCAATAAAACAATTATGGCATATTTGATATTACATGTACAGTATATGGAAACTAGAGACACGCAACCTTCCTATAAATGTAATGGATTCTCTGAAAAACACCCATTGGGCGCTAACAGGACAAAAATGTAAGGGTGTCACTAACTGTCTGCTCAAGTGACATATGTTCGTGTGTGTAGATGTAACGGCTAGCGGTTGCCAGAACATCGAGAGGTTTACACGTCGATATGGGTAAATGGACAGAGACGAATGACAAATACAAGCTGGAAATGGATTATCCCTCAGTCAAGTCCGACAGAATGGGTTAGTTTTCTTGCGATTAAAATGTTTTGAGAGAGATTTGGAGCATACTTTTGAGAGATAAATTGGTTTGACGCGGGTTTCGAGTTTTTGCGCCCCTTGCAATATTGCGCCCCGCTTATCACTGGAAAAATGCATCTTTAAATAGCATATTTAATACTAACTTATTTATTACAACGGATGGACAGCAACAGCAACAACAAGCTAATGGTGGACTTCGGAGTGAAATTTTGGTTTTGGAAACGGCATGTAGAAACGCCTCCTTTCCACCATAATATAACACCATCAAACGTAAAAACTTGTGGATTACTACTGCCAAATATCTAGAAATGAAATGAAATGGGGTTTAACGTCCTATCGTTCTCCTCCTGACCGGGCTAATGAAGACGGGCATACGCCATACAGTGTACTATGAGGGTAATTTTGCCCTAACATCTGCATTTCGGTCTACTCTTATATCGAATTCCAACTGCCAAGGGACATTTTACGTGCACGCTAATGTGTACACGGGATCTCGGGGTTTTTTTCGTCCCATCCCAACGACTATACCCTTGGCAGGCCCTCTGTTTTGTAAAACGGGGGAACCACACCGGGAAATCTGGATGAACTTTCTCGGTCCTATGCAGGGATCGAACACCCGGCCTCCGGGTTGGCGAGCTAACGTCTTACACACCTAGCCACCGTGGCTCCCTCAAATATCTAAAGAGAAGGAACTTCATTTAAATCTATCACGCTTATGATCAAATAAACTTTAGGATAACACATTAAATTGCCGTCTTCTTCTTATATTAGTATTTAACGTCCGCTTCCAACGGGAGTGATATCGCAGACAACTTGTCTTATTTTTATTATATTAACGCGCATATTATAGGTGTTTTCCTGTGGGAGGAAACCGGAATACCCGGAGTAAACCCACGAGGTTGGGAAGGCGCCCCTACGCTACATACGCTTACACCAGAGATCGAAACCACGACCGAAAGCCAATTCAAACATCTTTAACTTTTTTCTCAATAATTAAAGAAATTTTTCGAATTTAATTTGCAGAAGAAAAAAAAGTGAATATTGAGAGCTGATTAACAAATCGCGATGTGATATTAGCGAGCAAGTGAATCTGTACTGCTGATTAGTTTGGCACACGAAGTGAATGAGACTCTTGGGTATAGAGTTTCCGCCCCCCCCCCCCCCGCCCGACCCCCTCCTCCCGAAGAGTTTTTGCGCTCCCTTTCGAATGGAAACAATGACGTGTTCCAATTCTGTTTTCAATGATATTGGCCGATTCTGATCTTTTGTACTTCATACTTATACTCCTCAACCGTTGCTCATATAAGTTACATATCGACCTCTAGTGTACTCCACACAGCGCACAATTGCTCGAAGAGACCCCACCCCACTCACACTCGTTAATGATATAAATATTGGGATTTCGCGAATCAGCGGCCATACACGTACACACCCGTATGATATATGAAACCAAAGGAGTGGAATATGAAGCCAAGGGATTAAATATAATGAAGCCTAAGGAAAGACGTTTGAGTCCCATAAGAAGGTTCTGCTTACCCTGATGCCAGAATCTGATCTATTAGGGATGATCGCGGGACAACAATGGCTATAAAAGATGTAGCGGAGATTGCCTGAAATTTAGGGGAAAATAAATAAATATATAAATCATAATATTGTAATTTGAAATATCTATATAAATAAAATCAAAGATGTCTGTGTGTATGTGCGATGTATGGTGTGTTCGTCCATCGACCTTCGTCGCCGCGATCCGACCCCGGGTGAAGCCGGTATTCCTAGTAAAGAAATAAAATAGATAGAGAGTGAGAGAGAGAGAGAGAGAGAGAGAGAGAGAGAGAGAGAGAGAGAGAGATGGGGTTTAACGTCCACTCGACACAAACTAGGTCATTTCGGGACTAACACATGGTTCAATTATTTTTTTTTTCAATAATTCGCTTGCGTGTAGGGGTCTTTAGCAGTAGGAGGAAACCGGAGGACCCGGAGAAAACCCACGAGGTTGGACAGGTGACCCTACTCCGCCAGTTGACTCAATGACAGACCTATGATACAGCGCAGCGCGCACTTGCTAACCATTCGGCCATCCAACCCTCCAGATAAAATAAGCCGAATTGTGGTTTAAGGTCCTATTTTTCTGCACCGACCGGGATACGCAACGCAGTGTGCTATGAGGCGTTTCCGCCTACATTTCAAAGAATTCCAACTGTCAAGGGCTCTTTTACGTGCACGGTACCCCGGGTTTTCGTCCCACCCAAATTACTAGACGCCCTTCCTTACCAGCTTTCCCTCGCCCTATAATCCACTGACAAGGCGAAACCCGGGAAGCTTTATCGACCAAAACCATGATTAAGCCATACGGACCTACATGTACGCTTGTCTGTAATAAGGCTTAGAGGAACTGCAACAATGTCTCTTATAGAATTACATTTTGTCCATATCTGATATTTATATAAGATAATATACATAAGGTATTTCCTGGGTAGTGGGCAGAATTTTATGAATCCAAGAAAATTAATTAAATAACAATTTTTATGACACAGTCTGAAACTAGACCAGAGAGTCTTTTTTTTTTAATTGTCTTCAATTTGACTCGTTTTGGTGACAACGGTGTCGTACTATGTGATTAAAACGCAGATCCTATTTCGTTTCGTTTTTTTATTGTTTAAAATTTCATTTTATTTGTCTATATTACACTGGGATCTGGAAGAGTTGTTATATAATCCGAGTTCAGGATGATGTGTGGGATTTTAGCCAATGAAACGGTCTGTTACGGCGAGTTTTCGGCGTGAGTTGCACGGAGCTGTGGGTAACCCACTAGAAACATCAACGCTGATTGGTTAATCAAACATCTGACGTCATAGGGTCAAAAGCCGCTCGTGTGACCTCTGACGCGACCTCCCACTACAGCGGGTTATATCTTCATGTAGTATAGGCCATCGAAAGTATAATAAAACGAAACGAAATATAGATCTGTATTTTAATAGATTGATATCGACAGAGCACTACAATTGGAGATACATGGATGGGGTCAGTATAAAATTAGTTTCGGTATTTTCAGTTCCACCAATAATTCTGTTGCTTCGAAAGATGGGATATTGAAAGGGTCTGTGATGATTAATAATATGGAGGGCATGTATTTTGGTAGATTTGGCAACCCATACAATTAATGCTTAAATGAAATGGGGTTTAAAAACGTACTGTTCTGCTCCTACTGGGCTTAAAGCTTAAAAATAAGTACATAAATACCAAACATTTATGGAACTATAATAGTTACTGTGGGTAGGGTAACAAGAGTAGAACTATACCTACGGGATACAGACTTAAAAGCCAAGTAGTTTTATATAAAATGTCTTCTTGTTCATGAGATTTTCTAACATATCGTAACTCATCCATAAAGATCATAATCGTACTGAACGTTAACGTCCCACAGATTCCAATTAAAACTTTATCTACAACTGGTAGTTCTACAATATAATAAAATATATATCAAAGATGCATTATGCAAGAGCTAAAAATACCCATTGCCGGTATTTCGTTTGGTCTTGAACTACTGTATTAAAGCGAGAACTGTCAGCTCTTTAGCGAATTGTTACATAATGCATCTTCAAATAATATTAATATACATGTACATTATACAATAACACTTTGTCTATACAATAAGTAGTTATAAAATGAAATAAAATGAAATGGGGTTTAACGTCCTACTTTTTTTTCCGACTGGCTAATGAAGACGGGCGTACGTCATACGGTGTCTCAAGAGGGAAATTTGTCCCAGCAGCGGCGCTACGGCCTGGTCTTACTTTAAATTCCCACTATCAAGGATCTCTTACGAGCACGCCAATGTGTACACGCGACCGCGGATTGTCGTCCCATCCGAACGAATAAGTAGTTATAATAATAAAAATATACATGTATATATCAAAACTGTATCTAAAATATAAAAACATATATATCAAATAATTGATATGCATATATATAATAACATATACACAACACGTATCAAATAATTCATATCAAACCATATATATTAATGGGAAACTGATTTCCGAACGCACTATAAAAATGATATCTTACTGAAGCTGGTAGAGTTAGAAGCGATTTAGTTGTGTGTATTTGCAAGATATGTGGAACCGAAGGCCGTAATATATCAAAACGCGTATAATAATAATAATAATAATAAAATTATTTCAATTGCAAGCTGTCTAAACCAGGATGGTGTGTTGTATGCATCTAAGGTGTGTTGTATGCATCTAAGTGTTAGGACGATCTACCAATCAATAGTTGCATGATGATCAATTTTATCAGACATGAATGTGAAAATACTTTGGGACTATAAACTAGATAACACGTTGCATTAATTACTCAATATATAAGCCAATAGGATCTGGCTAGTTATTTTATAGGCCGAACCTGCCTTCAGTGTTTAAATATAACAATGAGCACAATAGCCTACAGTATATTTAGTAATCTTTATTTAGTATTGTCAAATCACACCTTGATTTTTTTTCTTTTTTCAAAATACAAAATAATTACAATTGCGTTTAACTTTTTTTTCACAATCACATATTTGGTTCCCGACCATTCAGTCATACTACACTTGACACATGTACGACCTGAAAATATGTTACGACTAATTACGAAAAATGTGATCATAAATCAAAAGAGGTCCAGTTGATGGAAGTATACTAGAAAAACACATTTTTAGAACAGTGTTTCCAAACCTGGGGTCTGAAAAGTCGAAAGTGTGTGAGAAGCAGGGGATGAGGGGGGAGAGATGAGGGGGTGGGGGTATAGAGAAAGGAAAGTAAGATAAATGATGATAGAGGGGAAGAGAGAAGATAGAGATGGGATTTAACTCGATACAAACTAGATCATTTCGGAACTAACGCATGGTTCAATTTTATATCAATAATTTACTTGCGTGAAGAGGTCTTTAGCAGTGAAAGGAAACCGGGAATGGGGTTGAAGGTACTGTTGTAGAGGACCTACCCCAATATACAGAGAGTTGTCTTGTCATTTCGTAATATTACAGGATATGATCTGAGATATTTTATCTACAATACAGAACTTAATTAATTTTAGAAAAACTTGTGTTGTGAAAGAAGTCCAATTTCTTTCTATCTTGAAATAAAAAATTCTGAAATAATAAATTTTGTATGGAAAATTTTACCAGTAGGATTCAACGTGGACGTAAACACAATCAAAGTACATTGGTTGGTACCATATTGTTGTGTTAATTTAACAAGATACATGTAAATACATTTAAAACTTCGTGTAAAATTCAGTTTAATATTTCCAAATAATCAATAAGTTTATGTAGCAACATTGATTGCATTTGGCTTAGGTGTCTGATCCAGGTTCGATTCTCCTTTTAGTTATCAAATGGCTGGAACTAACCTTCCTTTCTGGTTTCGACGAGACATTCTACCCCGGTTTATCTCACAGAGTAGCATGCAAAGGGGGGCAATGTTGTATATACAGAGTCCGTTAAAGACTTGTTTAAACTTCAAGTTAGATTATTCTATAACACAGGGCTTGAAAACCAGTTAAACATTTTTGGCTTTAAAAGTAGTTTATCTGAGATGAAGGGGGGAAGGGGGAAAGCTAGAGAGATAGAAATATGAAAATAGATAAAGAAAGATAGATTGAGAGGAAAAAAGAGGACTAGATAGAAAGGAAGGAGGGGAAAGGAGAGATAGACATAATAAAAGAGCGAGGAGAGTCTGGTGTTCACCTTACACTTAAAAGGAGGGTGGGGTTGAAGGAGAAGAGAGATGGAGGACGATAGAGATGGGATGAGAGAGAAATGAAATGAAATGGGGTTTGGAATGAAATGAAATGGGGTTTAACGTCCTACTGTTCTGCTCCTATACTGGGCTAATGAAGACGGGCATACGCCATACAGTGTGCTATGAGGGAAATTTTGCCCGGGCAGCGGCGCTACGGCCTACACTTATATCGAATTCCAACTGCCAAGGGATCTTTTACGTGCACGCCAATTTGTACACGGGACCTCGGTTTTTCGTCCCATTCGAACGACTAGACAGCTGTTCGTGTCAGGCCCTCCGTCCTGCACCACTGACAAGGGGAAACCACGCCGGAAAATCTGGATGAACCTTCTCGGTCAATGCAGGGATCGAACACCCGACCTCCAGGCTAGTGAGCGAGCGTCTTACCCACTTAGCCACGTGATCCCCGGGATGAGAGAGAAGGGAGAGAGAAGATATTTCGGGACTAACATATTGGTGCAATACCCTTAGCATTTAATTACTATATGTAAGAATAGATGTTGTTGTTGTTTATTATAGATTTAACATCCAATACAATGAATATGTTATTATGGACAGGTTGATTTAATTAAATTATTTACACTTGAAAATTGTCCTTAAAGCACACTTATAAACTCGCTGTCATGAGAAGAGAGGGCGGGCCATCTTATCCCTTTGACATAATAAAGTTAAAACAGGAGGTCCAACTGACTGATGTTTGGCGTCATAGGAGCGGCTAGAAAAAAACCCGTGGGGGAAAAAAGAATCCGCTTACTTTATGTGGAAAAGCGAAGTGCTCACAGTAAAAACCACATAGCTGGACCCGTAGATTATTTACATATTAAAAGTGTTCGTCCAATAAGTTCCATATTGTTAAAAATTAATTAAGAGTTCAAGACTTAAAAGTTTAAAAGTTGTAGGCATTCCATTAGAGTTTTCCTTGCGTACGGTTCTCCACAGATAAAAAGTTACCTGTAAAGAAAAAGAAGAGCCAGCAGCAACAAAGACAAATTGAACCATTTTATAGGAATAAATACATTTTTAAACACAGGTTAAATTAAATTGATGGATGTGCACTTTCATTGTTAATAATGGTTGTGTAGGTCCCTATTCCTTTATTTTATCATTTGTTTTCCTTGGTATATTAATATATTAAGTCATACAGCAGACTGAACCGCCATACTGTCCTACAACAATAGTTCCTTTCTTTGTAACTAGATATGTAGTTCCCTATCTTAACGTTAATTTATTCTGATATTATTAAAGCATCCAGGTGGCTTAGGGGCCAACCTGGTCTACACAACCAGTTATCTTTCTTTGACTAGAACTCTTTTAACGCAACTAACTTAACAGTTAATTCCCGATTCTGTTATGAATTTTGAGATAGCTTCATAAATTGTATATGACATATTCCGAGGGGGGGGGGGGGGAGTACATTTTGGAGGGTATATTGAAGTTTGGCATTTTCCATTAAACTTCGTACAGGGAGTCCTTTCTTTTCCAATTTATTGCACGCAATGATGACATTATTAAAGGTCAAATTGTGGCCACATTCGCACTTCACTGGGTTAAATTTATGGTCGGTAATTAAATCCTTAGTTCTTAATCTTGTAATTAACCCACAAATTGTGAGCGATGGGTGATTAATCTCCGTCCTTACAACCACATCGTTGTTTAAATTGAATCTAAAAGTGATAGCTTCATGAATTTTATATGACATATTCCGAGGGGGGGGGGGTACATTTTGGACGGTATATTGTAGTTTGGCATTTTCCATTAAACTTCGTACAGGGAGTCTTTTCTTTTTCAATTTATTGCACGTAATGATGACATGATTAACGGTCAAATTGTGGTCACATTCGCACTTCACTGGGTTAAATTTATGGTCGGTAATTAAATCCTTAATTCTTAATCTTGTGATTAACCCACAAATTTTGAGCGATGGGTGATTAATCTCCGTCTTTACAACCAGATCGTTGTTTAAATTCAATCTAAAAGTATTTGCTCTGGCCAACTCAATTTTCCATTCTGATTTAATTTTAGTTTTGACGATGCTATTAAATTCCTGAACGCTATATTTTAAGTATTCAGTCTTGCAGAGGCCGAGCCAGATTGTCTGCGGACTCATTGCCTGCTATGCCAATATGGGATGGTATCCATGTAAATTCTACGGTTTTATTTTTGTTTCGGAGGGAATAAACACTTGCTCGAATATTCTGAACAAGTTCTGGCCTAGGTGATTTTTTGTCATGATGCTGCTAAGATAGTTTGACACAATGACTGCTCTTTGAACTGTGGATGACACGAGCCACTCAAGAGCTGTGGATATTGCCTTTTCGATATATTAATATTAAATTCGGGAATGACCACACCTAATGCAGTTTTGGTAGTGTTTGGATCGTGAGACCCGTCCGTGTATATTTTCACATGCGATGACCATTTTTCGTTCAAGAATTCCCTCGATAGCATTAGAGCGTGTTGTGGATTTTCTTTTTTCTTGACAACGTTACCTAGACTTATGTCATAGTTTGGATTTAAAAAAGTCCATGGGGCTTGATACGAAAATACCCTGTCAGAAATCCGATAGTGGTCTAATCTTTGGTCTTTTAATAGATCATTTGCTCTGTGGCCGAACGGCTGAGACTCTGATTTGACATTTCTTTTGGGTTTTTTCCTTGATGTTTCTGTACACTTAAATGTTGGACAGCTGTCCCCAAGATACTGTAACTTGGTCCAATATCTCAAAGTCAGTTCGTTTCGCCTCAAGTCGAATGACATTTCACCCACTTCCTGCAAAAGACTTTCCCTTTTTGTGCCAAATGAAGCTTTCGTTACTTTCTTTATTGCCTGATATTGTAAGCTATCTAGTTTAGCAAGCACTGTTTTATTTGCACTTGCAAAAGCGACACAACCATAGTCACATATTGATCTTATCATGGACCTATATATCATTAGCAGGGTCGTTTTATTTGCTCCCCGTGATATGCCTGTCAGGCATCTTATTACGTTCAGAACATTCTGTCCTCGTTTAACAATATTTTCAATGTGTGGTATAAAAGTCATTTTGCGATCAAAGGTCACTCTAAGAAGCT